TCCGTTGTGGTTCCCGTCACTGCACGAACGGTATTCCAAAAAGAGCTTCTAAAGCATCGACCAGCAATTTGAGCCGCTGAAAATCCAAAGAATGAAACGTCCAAAGCCCGCCGTTTTTGGTCAACATACAAGTGAGGAAATCAATGAAAGGATTGTTGCCATGGCGTTTACGGATTTCATCAACATGCCTACCAGGCATGATGTTTGTCAAATCTTAAAAAGTAAAGTAATCACATGAATATGCATGCAATACTCTATCAACCTAAAAATCGTCTTTTGTTTATGTTTTGATCTAATGAGGGTAACAGGGCGGTATTCAAAAGAAAAAATCTTTGACCAACTATTACAACACATAATAATGAACGCCACAAAGAAGACATAATTGAGGCCTCAAAGAAGGGTGTCTTTGTGGACGAAAGAGCAACATCTTGGGAGCTATACAGTGTGCGGTGCGGGGTGGCACCCGGCCCTCGACTATGTCGTTCCTTTTGACACTGCGGCTGTATTTCAATGAACTGAAATCCAACCTCTATTTAATTCGATAATTTTCAAGATACTAATAATTTTTCTCATTCAGATCAAAAGTTTATATTGGCCCAAAAGGTTGGTATTCGTAATCTGGGGCTTACCTTTGATAAAAAATTTTCGTACTGTAAACAATCCTAAGGATTTATATTCAAAATTAAACACTGTTTCTTCGGAATCTAACTGGAGAGTGCCTTTCACCCATTTTGAGAAACCTAGATGCAAAACAAATAAATTAACGATTTAAGATGTGTCGCATGTGCGAAGTCACGCTGTAAAAGTGACCAAACAAAAGGCTCCTTAAAAATGGTTTCAAAATGGGGCTTTAAAATAGCCGTACAATATTTGACCCCTATAATTAAGAATAGGATTCCCCAGCTCGATTGCCGATGCTTTCGCAGCTATATTTCTTCAGAAGCACGTTACCCAATAAAAATATTTTGCTTAATATTCTTGTATGTTTGCATGGCCGGTGACAGTCGTTAAGTAATTTAGCTTGTAGGTACACTACGTAAGTATTTAATACTGCAAAGCTTTCGGACCGTTAATTGCAGGTAATTAATTTCAGGTAATTGCACTGATGAAGGCCCGGCCGGTTCAACGGACCGAAAGCTTTGCAGTGTTAAATACTCACGTGTTGCACCAAGCTAAATTACTTAATATTTTGCTTACTTGAAAGCATCCAGATAACAATTCCTTGCTTTAGAAATTCCACCAATTTCTCTTCACGCCTTGTTCTTACAGCCTGGAAATTGTGGTGTAGAGATTTGGAAAGGTAGCTCATTGCTGCTGTTGTCATTATCATGGATCCACACGTTTCTCCACTAGCTCCATCTCGTACTTTTAGATGACTTCCAGGGGCGTAAAGGAAATCCATTCTCTCAACTAACGTTTTCCATATCTCTGGCTTGCTAAGAGAGAATGACTTAGTTTCGTCACAGCAAACGAATGTCAATACCCCGTCATAGGATACCTTTAAAAAGAGAAATTCTAATTCATCGGTCCCTTAGGTACACACTATTGAGTATTTAATAATTATTGCCAAAAGACAAGAAAATCGGTCGTTACAATGTAAATGTCAAGCAATTCTTCCTTGTTGATAAAATACCATGATAAACTGAATGTTATATACCTTAGAAGGCTGCCAATCTAAATGAGCTTCAGCAGCAGATCTGACTTCGTACTTAGTTGTCTCAATTCTTTCTTTCAAACGAAGCACAATATTCTTTTCAGCAGCTTCATCCTCCAAAACATCAATAACCTTTTCCTGATGTTGCAATTCCTCGTAATAATCATTGACGTCATGTTTACTCTTACCCATTTCGACGAAAGCAGAGCAGTCGTCTTGTCTGAGAAGGAATTTATACAATGTAACATGTATGAGCATTTTCTGTTCGCCCAACCGTGCATAATTATTTACGACAAAGAAAAAACAAAAAACCAAAGCAGTGGATCTGTTCATGTTTTGGGACAAAGGTAAAGCATTGGTTTATCAAAATTTCTTTTAGTGTTCAAAATTCATTCATCCTGAGTAAACAGTTTGAATTCTCATTAAACAACATACTTAATCATTATCGAAATAACGAAACCAATCGAAAAATATATTTAGGGCTTGGATTCTCGAAGTGTACAAAGAACCACTATGAAACTCAATTTTTAAAAAGAGAAACCAATCCGTCACCGGGTTGAACATCAAAAAAAGCCACCCAAAATGAGCATAATTGGAAAAATTTTTGTTTCCAAAATATTGAAAAATTGTATATTAATTAACAAAGCTTCCCATTTTAACAATTTTAGGATGGTTTGTTAAATATTTTACTTAAAATTTTTCTAGTTTCAAAATTAATTCAAAGCAAAAGTTCAACGGATGTTTCTCAAACACAGGATCCACTTTGCCAAACATAGAAACTAATTGAAAAACAAGAATAAAAATAACTATATAACTATTTTCCCCGTTGAGTAATATAGGAAAATTTATATTTTTCTTTACCACATATTTTTCCGTTGACTTTAAGGTTAACTCGGTGGTCTTTCGCATCAATTCTTTACCGTTTGTTAGGGCTTTAGGGTGCCATGCGAACGTATCCACCATGAACACCATTGCAACAGTTTCACCATTTCTTTTCAGCTCACTCGCCATTTCGTAAGCCAACAGACCGCCGAACGAGTAGCCAGCTGAAAATGCGTTTCAAAAATCGTGGGCATGAGCGAGCATCCAGCTACAATAACTGACGTAACTGATGTAACTAAAAGACCCCTCTTGAATGACACGATACGGTAAAATTTATTATTTTTAATTTCTAGTTGGTAACAATATAGTTTTCATATAATTTGTTCTTACCAAGATAAAATGGACCTTCAGGCTGGATTTTTTTTATTAAATCTACATATCTACGAGCGAGTGTCAGCACCGTTCCATATTCACTCCTCTCAAATGACGTATCGTCCACTCCAATACCATATAATGCAACATGTGCCTGAAAAAAATAATAACTGATGAACGAATGCCATCACTCTATACCAGATGCAAGCATTAAATAATTTAATTTGTGAAATGATGGAGAATCACTTCATATGTACATATAATAATTGCGTATATCCCCTGAACTTGCATTTTAGATAGATAGGATAGATTTAGACACTGCCTTAATTCATGTAATACAGCGTAACTTACTGCGGTAAAGTGTTTTTAAACCACGTATAATTTTTTATTTACCTATAATTTTTTATTTCTATCAATCAGGGCATAAAAATGCCTCGAGATTTGCAGTTTTATATGGTTTTTCGTCAAACCCAGCGTAAGGTCGTAATTGATATTATTATTGATTGATAACTTTATGCATCTTAATTGATACAAGTTTGGTTCTACCTAGATTCTGATTGGGTAAGAGCCTACAGACAATTTTCACTGACTTGTCACTTACAACGACATTAAACAATTATTAGCTTCGCTTCGGCAGATAGCATTGGCCTTGGTCCAAATATTTCTTGTTATTATACATTATAGTAGTAAAAGCAATTTGACTGGCTAATAGTTGACAGATAAATCGCGCAATCACGCAAAATTCAGTTATCTGCTAGCAGATAACTGAGTTATCTGCTAGTGAGCCTGCGGTAGTTAACAAGCGGTTTCATTTGAATTCATTCGTTAATACTATGTTTATTATTCTTCAAATTTATAATAAAACAATTATTGAATTCGTTTTTGTGATATGCAGAGTTATCAAGGTCTCGGTAAGCGATAACGCTTACCCCGACCTTGATAACTCTGCATATCACAAAAACCTCATCCAATAATTGTTCAATATCATGCTCAGCGTCATGCAATAACTGTTAATAGTTTGTTTTTTTATCCATATATAATTTATGAATCTGATATAATAAGAATCTGATTTTTTACCCTGCAACCGGACCAAGTTGCTTGAAATCGTTACCTGTTTTTGGAAACCTTGCGCGAATGACGCTAGTCCAAGCGCCGACTTTTCGCTGGAGTGTGTCATAAATACTTTAACAAATACGTTATCTGGAGTATAAATTGGAATAACTTTCTCTGGATTTGAAGGAATATTTATGTTCTGCAGCTCAAGCCCATTGTTAATTCTTCCAATCTTAACTGTGTCATTGTAGTTAATTTCAGGTGAAATATTTTTTTATCTTCTTCATCGTTACTTGACAAACTTGGTTTCCTTTGCTTTACTTCTTCCGAGGATTCATTGTCCGCACTCGTCGATTCTACGTTTTCTATTTGTTCCAGAATATCATTAACGATTCTTAGACCATTCACATTTGGTTGGATAAAGTAATAAGCCTATATGTTGAGGAAAAACACCCGAATTAGCATTTCATCCATGCATAATTTTATTGGCGCTTAATTTAAATAAAACTTACATAGAGTGAAGGATGATATTATAAATATATTAGAGATAGCGTATTAATTTCATAAATGTGGTTAAATTATGCAAAATCGAGAGAAAATTGCTCGCTTTTGAGACAATTAGAACATTATCCCAACTTATATTTCGCTAAATGCTCGTGAAACGCTCTCGTTTAATAATTGTTAAGTGTCTACTCTTAATAGTGCGTGAATTTCTTTAAGAAATTAGTCGAAAAAGAAGGATAGGTGTTATGAGCTCGTATTGGAAGGAAAAAGATCGTGATTCTTACACACGAGTGCAATTTTCCGTCGTATAACTGATTAGTGCATCGTTTCATTAATAAGTAATAGCAAATTTGGTTTCTCCTACAATTATAGCTACACGAGTAAAAAAAAGCACTTTTGAGTATCTTATAACATTTTTGCTGGCTCATTGATCTCTTTTTTCATCAAGAGACTTACCTCAAATTTAGCCCCAATGTTGTTTTCAATTCGATGTTTCATATTTGTTGCAGCAATTGAATCGATTCCAAACTTGTACAGACCGATGTTTAAGTCCACTTCAGAGGCCTCACTACCTGACCACGAACTGAGCAAACGCCTAATGAAATCTTGAACTTTTTGAATTCTCAAATCCAACGGTAGTAGTGCTAGGCTCTCCAATGTCATTAAATTGTCCAAGACTACCAGCGTTTCTTCTCGTTTCCATTGGAACCTCAGAGAATTATGAGTTCTAAGATAAACTTGCCAATTCACAGGAGATATGCAAACTTGAGCTTCGTTAAAATTTTTAAGAATGATGCGTTCCATAAACTCAGTTGCTGAAAAAATATAGACCTGAAAAATCATTGCCAAGTGGGTGAATAATTATGTATACTTATAACCAATACAATGTTGCGACAATATTTTTGTACCAAAAAATTTGCCACCGATTCAATTCTTTCTTATTGAGTAATTTCATAATGTGCCTAGCTTAATGGATTATTTTCTTGATTTGAAGTAGCTAGGAGTTCTGCAGGAATGTGTTTCAAGTTGTTATTCTGAATATACCTTGCGTATAGTGAAGAGCAAAAAATCCGTAGGTTTCCAGGACTGATGTGATATCTGCATTTCTTTCCAGTACTCCAGCACCACTGATCGGTCCCCAGTTAATAGACAAAGCAGGCAGGCCAAGCTTGTTTCGACGATATTCACATAGTTGGTCTAAAAATGTGTTAGCTGCAGCGTAAGATGCTTGCCCAACATTACCAAGAACTCCAGATATTGAGGAAAACATAATGAAGAAATCTAGATCCATCGAAAGACTGAGTTGGTGAAGGATAACACTTCCTATTAGAAAAATAAAAGATAGCTATATTAAGATATTTTTTAATTAAAAATGGTAATAGTACATGGTTTTCACAATTATTATACGAATTATAATAATATTATTACGGTATAAATGGGAATAGCAATAGACCGAGAATTGCCATATCATGCAAGCGAAATCGAATCGCGCATCGGGAAATTAACCAAAGGTGTGCACCACAACTCTCGGGAGACAAAACTGTCACTTAGAAAAATACGGTCACATACACATTTCAAATACAAGTATATTTTGCGCCAAAACACACTTGCGACGAAAAATAATAAAAAAACAAAAAAAAACAAGCGAATTTTCAACTCCGTCGTTCACGCCGGAGTAATTAACAAATGTATTACAAAGAGATTATTGTTCATTATTGATAATTAACAAAGGCATAGTTCATTATTTATGGGTAAAGGCTTTCTTTAAGCACGATTAGCAGAGATCGTGGTAATTAAAAATAAAATTGTCGATCTAGGGTACAATTCAATAGCGTGAAGGGCTATAATGAAAAGACTTACCTTTCACCTTTGTCCCTACAACATTTCTGCATGTCTTCAAATCGGCTTTCTTGAGAAACTGGTCGGCCAATACCATAGCGGTAAAAACGATTCCAGCTACATCAGGTAGACTTTCTAGTTCGCTTCTAATGGCATTCATTTCATCCCAAGATGTGACGTCTGCTTGACGTAGAAGGATACGAGATCCAGTTTTCTTCTCTAATTGTTGGACCTCCGCAATCTTTTCGTCACTTGGTGGTGACCGCGCTGTACACATGACTGTTTTTGCCCCATTTTCAACCATCCATCTTGCGATTTGGAATCCAAAACCTCGAACCCCCCAATGACAAGATAAGTTCGATCATTTTTTAAACCATTGATGTCAAGAGGTAGATTATAGAAATCAACCTGCCCAGGAACTGTCTCTGGCTTCACAGAAATTATGTTTAAACCAAAGTTCCCTTTTCGTTCAACTTCAGGTAGGCATCGGTTATTGGATTCATCGCCACGTTGCATAACATCGTATATGCTCGATGCTTTTTGAGCTATATCTAGAAGCTTGTTCCAAAGCCCTTTCGCTTTCAAGACTGAATAACACGAATCCAATAGCATGGAAAAATCTGCAGAACTCTTAGTTATGTCTTGTAAACTAGTCAAAATAAAGCGAACATCTTTCACGTAAACCCATGAGTTAAGCATCATAATTTCGGCCCCGTCGAGGGTACATGTAATAACACTTGCTCCTTGTTTAAGATGTTTCAGTATTTCACCTGTGACATAAGTACTGCTTCTGCTCAGAAGGCAAACAGCATCAAAATCCTTACAGCTATTATCCTTATGTTCAGCTTTCGCTACTTCGTTTTCACTTACAACCAATAACTCTCCAAATCGATCTTTACTTGACGGATTGTGAACAAGACACACAACATTTATACCTACAGACGCGGCAACGCAAGCAAAAATGTAGCATACTTCTTCACTTTGATGATAGACAAGAACTTTCTTATCACCTTCTATGCCACAAAGAAGATTTGTGAGAATGTAGTAAGACATTGCCATGGGAAATCCAATGGACACAGCTTGTTGAGTGGTGAAAATGGCTTTTATCTCCGTGAAGCAGGTTTCCTCTGCGGCAACGTAACTTCCAAGATTATCAATTTTACAGATGCCCAACACAAAGGGATCATTGTTTGCCTCCAGTCCATTGCACATTTTCCCAGCAATTGAAATAAGATCGTTCGGTTTCAGATCTTTCCAATGCTTATGAAGAATAGGACAGGCATAGTAGACTTCAATTTCTCCAATCCGTTCTTTTGACCCTTTCTGTAGAAACCACTGACCTGACCAACTCGCCATCTTTACAGGCTTTAGTGCTCCATCTTCCCCTAAAGGTGATTCCCTTTTCGTACATTTGGACTCGTCAGGATCAAACTTTTGAATACGATTGACATACCGTTCACCATTTCTATATACAATCTCTTCTTCTAGCAATGTTTTTTCAATGTCTTGTGCAATTGCATGGAAATCTTCATCGCTAGGATTGGCCGGCAAATCAATCACAGAGGCAGTGGGGACAGTGATTTCTTCTGAGAAGGTTCTTCTAAATCCAAATACAGATCCAGACCATGGAAAAGTATCATCAGAACTTCGTTCTAGTTGAGGAATTGAAATCACTCCTGAAGTGATGAACACAAGCTGAATCTGTTTGAGAAACTCTTCTCTCTTTAAAATTTCTTGAGAAATCAAAAGACAGCTCTCAAACGCAGAGCTATGAGCAGCATCAAAGTTGCGCGTATCGATATTGAATTTGCTTGCATCCACAGGCCAGAAATTGATCACCATTAGCTTTTGATTAGCTTCTATTTTCCCCAATACTTTATCTAGCGATCGGGAAAATGCATCACGAGATTCATCTGAGGTATCTTGTTTGTCAACAAAATGAACACTTCCGCTTTGCAGGACATGCTGTGCAAATCGTTCAGCAAATTTACTTTGGTCTCTCAGAATCAGCCAAACGTAATGCTCACGAACTTTTGAAGAGCCAGACGCCAACTGCTGCCAACCAAATGTGAACACTGCGTTATCAAATTTCACTTCCTCTCGATCTGACAGTATTTCTTCTATAGTAAACTGGTCAATAATCATCAAAGCACGGCCACACTGATCCAAAAGGAAAATGTTAAACGCCTCTCCTTTTTCTGATTCTACGATCTTTGCGTGAGCATAAAACTGCTGCGTGCACGTCGTCTGTTTCAAAATGTTGATGCGTTTAATCTCCTTTGGCACAGCTTTAACGACAGATTTGATGTCCAACAGAATGGTTGTCTGTAAACATGCATCAATCACCGAAGGATGCAAGACATATTCTTCTGTATTAGCGATTTCTTCAGTCGGACATATGAGAGAAAGGGCTTCATTGCCACTGGACCACGCCCTGACTATCAAGTCAAACTGAGGACCGAATGCGAAACCCGCAGTTTCACGAGCTTTAAGAAAATCTGCCCTTGACCATTCTTCCATTGAAGATTTAAGAATTTCAATATCGTACGGATTTCCTTTCTGGGAGACTTCTAAAATGAAAAAGCTTTGAATAAGCGTTAAATGAAGATAAGCACTGCGCTTTCTACCTGGACACGACGCCTTGTAGCAATTATGGCGTCGTTTAGGTGCAACCCAGAAGTTATAATAATATAGCTGTCATTATTTAGTATTTTTAATGATATGGCTATCAGCCATATACGACGAGATCGAGCGAGTAGTTTTTTATATATACTACATAATATATAGCTACCATAAATACCATTTTATAAGCGAAATAGACATTGCATGAAAACATAACTATAGATGGGCAATTGATGAAACTATGCACACCATTTACAAAGCCTTAATTAAACCATATTTTGATTATTGTTCCCCTCTTTGGGACAACTGTGGGCTGTTACTAAAAAAAAGTGGGAAAGTGGATGCAAAAATCTCAAAACTAAATATAAGTCTAGCAAAGCAGTTCTCGTACATAATATTCTAAAAACGGTACTGCCCCATGCCTTCGCAAATCCTTTTCTGAGCGAAGTGTAAATGAAAATGGTTATAAACTGAGAAATTACAATACTGATTTCTTAATTCTGAGACCTAAGAAAGAGTTTCTCCAAATAAATTTTAAATATATAGGAGCTGTATTATGGAACTGTCTTTAGCATGAAGCTAAGTCTGCTCAATCAATTCGCTATTTCAAGAGGCTCATAAACTCAGTGAAGCAGGCCGATCTATATTTATTGTGTCAACACTTATTTGTATATATTATAGCTCATAATTCTATTTGTATATGTCATAGCTCATAGTGTAATTAAGTAGACGCCCCCGTGGAAATCAGTGGTAACTGACGGGACTAGTGTCTGTAAATAACATTTAATAATAATAAAATTGATTTCATTTCAGTCAATCTTTCGCTGAATGATTTCACTAAATGATTTTCACTAAATATATATTACATTAAAACATCCGGCTTCGCATCGCGATTTAAATATTATAAAATGCTCCCTCTCGTGTTTTAAATAGTTACCTATACATCACTATCACGCTTTGAGGTTATGATCACTATCACGCAAGATTAATATCACTGCATGCATACTGCATAAGTGTCTATACCATGGTTGCGATGTTTGAATAGATCAAAAGTTTAAGGTATTTTAAAAAACTGTCCAATCACATTTTGTTATGGAAAACTTTTGATGGATTTATTAGCATTTAAATATACCGGACATCATGTCAAATTGGGAATTGCAAATCAGTTTTCTTTTGTTGAATTAAGTTGCACAAAATTCCTTATTTGACGTAATGAAATTCCTTATTTGACGTCATTCCTTATTTGACACTAATAAATCCTAAATTTTTCAATAATAAAATGCATTGCAAAGTTTTTTTTTGAAACACTGTACATTAAACTTTGGTATAGGCATTATATTTATACAATTTAGCTAGTCTTATATCACTATCATTTGCGTACGCCGTTCAAAATATTTGCTAGAAATGTATTCGGTTTACCTTTCGATCTATATCCATCATCAATACCAATCTGAATGGAACCCTGAGAGACAGTTAATTCTCGCTCGTCGCTTTCCACTGCAGAGATCTGAAATGATTTATTTCCACCAAGGGATTTTTCAGGTAGAAGACGTGTTCTTATCTTGTGCGAGTCATTCTCGGATATGGACAGTAGACTATCGAAACTGATGTTTCGAACATCAGGCGCTGCCCGTGGAGACAAGTGCAAGGACATAGCAAATACAATCTCTATATAAACAGCGGCAGGTATCAAGGGGTTTGAAGATTGAGAAAATTTATGATCCTGGAGATACGAAACATCGTGCAAATTGATTTCAGATTCCCAAGCCAGCAAACCACTGAACGTTTCCGTCGGGACTACTTTACCAAGAAGGGGATGGAATTTGGTGGTTTTCTTATTTTCTTCATTAGTCTTGTGCTCATCGTAAAATGTAACACATTCTGGTGGATGCGATTCGCGGTACCAATACTTTGTTTCTTGCCAAGGATATGTTGGACGGGGGAAAAATGTTTTCGATCCCGAGCCTTGCACTTTGTTCCAAGATAAGGGAACACCATTTGCGAAGAGGCGAGCCACGCAGTTTTGAAGAAATGATAAGTGCTGGCTTTTCACTGATTGTTTTGGTAGAGTTTGAACCACAACGACGTCGTTTGAACGTAGAGAATCTGACGGATGATTGTGAGACCAAGTCTGACGAACATGGTATGAAAGCTGAGGTACTGCGTTTATTTCAATAAAGAACCGGTGACCATCCGAAAACATCTTTTTTAATACGGGCTCCAGTAAAACCGCTTGTCGGATGTTACGCCACCAATGGTCAAGTGATAAGAGATTACCGGGCAACTTAGTGCCGGTAACAGTTGAATAAAATGGCACATTGCTTGAAGTTTCACAAACTTTGAAATCCTTTGTGAGATTAAGGAATGCTTGCTTTATTTCATCCATTTCTCTACTATGGTATGCTCGAGTCGTAGTAAGTTTCTTCCAAAAAAGATTGCTTCTTTCACTGGACACATGGTTTTCCACCAGCTCCATTGACCTTTTGCTACCAGATAACACAACATTACCTGGGCTATTCACGGCGGCAACGTCGACCTCATTTGTCAGTTGAAGATCTTGCAGCATATGTCGAGCTTCCTTTTCTGTCATCCCAATGGCAGCCATACATCCTGTTGGTGAACATTTCTCGTGAAGTTGAGAGCGAAACAAAACCAACTGCAAAGCTTTATTCAAATTTAATGCTCCAGATGCCCAGGCTGCAGATATTTCTCCAAGACTATGACCAATAACCGCGGACGGTAAAACACCCCATGATTTTAGTAGCTCGGTTAAAGCAAAATGTATGGCAAACAGAGCCGTCTGTCCGATTGGTTTTCATGAATTCGCGACGTTTCTGCGGGTTTCTTGAGCTCAGAAATCAAGGACCAGGGGGCTTGGTATTGTTTAAGGAGTGCGTCAATTTTTTCAATGCTTTCCTTGAACTTTGACTCATGAACTAGCATTTCTCTTGCCATACCATACCACTGTGCACCTTGACCACCATAGAGGAATACGACTTCACGACGCGGCTTAGTGACGGCCCCTGTAGCCACCAATCTTCCCATCCGTTTTCCTGATCAGAGAACATATCTAATGCCTTAGCTGCATCTTGAAATGAATAAAGCTAACCGCCAAGCGATAAAGTTGCATTGTGTACCTTTCGTTGAGGGAATAACAAATATTATCTTTAAGAAGTTCGTCGTCATCAGGCTTTATCTTTAGCGATAAGGACACCTTTTTAGCCATTGCTCTCAATGCTTCTTTCGACGCTGCCGACAATGTTAGAACTCTGTTGGATGAATTTCTGCTTGGGATTATAGTTGGCTTTGTAGTTACTTCCCTAATGATTGCATGGGCATTTGCGCCGCCGAATCCATACGAAGATACCGCGGCGGTTCTCGGCTTATCATCCTCGGTTTTCCAAGTTTCATTGGAAACTTGAACCACCATTTTTCTTTCAGGCATCATGAGCTGTGGTTTAACTTGTTGAACATTAATAGTAGGAACAAATTGGCATGTTTTATCATCAGACATGTCTTGATTAGTCCAGCTAAACCTGCTGTTGACTCCGTATGGTTTACGTTTGATTTCACTGATCCTACACGAAGTAATCTTTTGCCACTATTGCCATAGACTGCTGATAGTGATCCCATTTCGACGACATCTCCAACGGCTGTACCGGTGCCATGTGCTTCCACGTATGTTATATCGTCCTTGGTCAGACCTGACTCTTGAAGAACTCTTAAAAAGAGCGGCTTGTGTTACCTGACTAGGTGCTGTCATTGGAATCGCTGTTTGGCCATCATTATTTGTTCCGCAAGCCAAGACCTCTGCATAGATATTATCTCTATCATCTAAGGCTGTTTGGGTAGGTTTTATTAAGATGCAGCTACACCTTCTCCTCGCCCATAGCCGTCACCTTTGATATCAAAACATTTGCAACGACCATCTTCGGCTAACAGCCCAGTTCTGCAGCATGCCGTGTGAAATTGGTTTCCAATGAGAATTATATTAGGGGCACAAACTATAGCTGCGTCACACTCGCCAGTTTGTAAGTGTTGAAATGCAATGTCCAAAGCAACCAAAGACGAGGAACAAGCAGTATCCAAAGCGATGCTAGGGCCAGTTAGGTTAGCGAAAAAGAAATGCGATTGGCTATAACTGACATAGAGCAGCCAGTTGACGAGAACTGATCAATCTTTCTAATATTCGAATGATCAAAAACCAGTGCACTATATTCCGTGCACATAGATCCAACATAAACGCCAGTTCGACATTGTTGTAAGTCCTCAAGGGGTATGCCAGCGTCTTCAATCGCTTCAAAGACAACTTGAAGAAGTATTCGCTGTTGGGGATCCATTGAACGGCTTTCGCTTGGAGATATTCCAAAAAATTGAGCATCAAATCCTGTAATATTTTCAAGAAATGCGCCGGTAAGGACGTAATGCTTCCCTGGTGTGTGCTTCCCTGGGTTAAACGAATCTGTGAACTCCCTTGCGTCTGGCCTGTTCATTGGATAAGAGCCAATACTACATCGCCCTTCCACCAACATATCCCAAAATGCATCTTTCGAGTTTGCACACCTGGAAAACGACAACTCATTCCGACAATGGCAATTGGATTGGACTGTTTGGTTTTTGCGTCTAATTCAGATAAACTCGGCTTGTATTTCTACTAGATTTGTATCTTTTCGTAATGTTGAACCACTTCATGATTGACAAGTCAAGGTTACTTTCACGAAGATTAAAGAGCTTTCCAAGTAGAGACAGGTACACAGGTAGTATCACCAAACCATGAAGTAAACCAAGAAAAACGATACCAACAAACATTTTGAAAAATGTCTGAAATACCATGGAGGAGGTAAATCCCGTTGGCATCATTCCAAGGAATGTGCTAAGCCCACCTAAAAACACTGCCGCCTACCTTGCTTAGAGCATCGATGACACGGAGTTCGGGAGTTGTTGCCCTGGAGAAACAAAGTGGAAAGCGACATGTGCGTTGTAATCTACAGAAAATCCCAAAGCCATAACAAGGTTGATCATAGAGATTGAGTTCAAAGAGACATTCCAGATGTACATCAGACCAAATAGTTCAAATATAAGAGCACCGAATCCCCATATAAGACAAAATATTACACAAAGTGATTAATAAACAACCACGATATCAAAATAATTGAAATTCCAGCAACAACCAAGTTCTGATGGTTTCATTAAGTACATGAGCATACTGTTCAAAGTATATAAAAGGCAAGGCAATAGCAAATGCACGAGCATCCGTGGACGGAGATCCTTTCGAATGCTCGCCATCATATTTCTTTGAAATTTGAGTCAGGATCACTTTTACAATATACTAGTATCCGTGAAGCCGTCAAATGAGTTTATCTTTCGAAAATTTTAGATCCTGGGCAAACCTTTGATACTCCGGGAGTGAAATAAACTCCTTCAAGTAGTGATGGAATATTCTCGTATCATCGATTTTGATGTTTCTATTCCGTGCCCACGACGTATATTGGGATACCACGATATCTTCTTGGAGAAAAATATTCGTTACTTTCAACTAGAGTTTCAACTTGGGAGTATATTTTCTGAATTTCAATACTCGAGTGATCAGTTTTTCTGGGAAAATTATGCTAACTTCGATATTAAGGTTAAAGTTTTCTTCATAAACATTTAGGAATTTTCGGAAATGTGAATCTTTCGTTGTTAACCACTTCCTGTTAAAACTTTCATCGAGGCCAAAGCGCCATAAATTCCAAAGCTAGGAGAAGTAGTGAACCTGAGAACACAAAGAACTTTTCCAACAGGAAGTAATTAGTTTTCCCCATGCTTTCATAACGTTGTCAAAGCCACTTCTCCGAATTCCAAAGCAACAATCAGTTGGAGGAGGACTCATTAGGCAAGGCAAGAAATCTCTGCGTCGAGCGTTGATTCTTTTAATATCGAACCACATGCAACCAACAAAAAATGTCAGCAACAGAATGAAAACAGATGAAATTGCAACAGCTGTGTAAGTGCAGAAAAGCCGAATCGAAGGGAAGATGGAACTACTGCTAACGGCAAATGCTACAAGATCAGTAAGGGTTGTCATGGTAATAGTTGGACCACTTCTAGCCATTGTCCCACTTAACATATGCATCGCAGGCAAATCTTGACGGATCATTTCATTAAGTTCGTGTAGAATAATAAAAACATCGTCTATGCCGATACTTACAACCAAGAACGGTAGAACACCAACCATGCTGATAAAGGGAACACCAACAATCATTAAGAAGCCAAGTGCACTCGTGACACCCAAGTAAATGGACAACAAGGCACCATATCCTAACAATTGATGACCAAAACGAGTATCAG